CTGCGCTCCATGTGGGACCCTCGCTGGCCGCCTGGGATCGAACCGACTCTACAGAGGCTGCGGGAAGCTTCGCAACCCAGCGCTCAACCGCTGCGCCACCGGGGAGGCCCTCTCATGATCATAATATTAATAACACTTCTAAGGAATAATTAAAATGTCTTGGTTTAATAGCCATTGTGAGATGTATACCAGTTTCAGACATGTGAGAAAAATGATTAGAGTTTCCATTTTTTAGGTTCCATATTTTGGGTTCTATTTTTTCTATTAAATTCTGAGAGAAATGTGTAAAAGTTTTATGCTTTTAGTGTACTGTACCCATTTCTCATTGTATTGATAATTGACTTTCCTCTCTACATATTCTGGTGCTTTTTAATTCTGTGTAAAAAGGTTCATGAATTCTCCCTGGAGTCTTTCTTGGTTTATTAGTATTTTTTAAAAAAACCCTTATTGTAGAATTTAATGCTTTTCTTCTTGATATATTTTGCCACATCTGCCTTCCTTTTTTTTAAAGATTTATTTTATGCATACAAGAAATGGGGTACAGGCCAGCGGTATGGAGGTGGGGTGCGGTGAGAGGATTCACCAGAGACAGAGTGGGGAACAGAACAGGCAGATTGACTGAAATACACTGCTGAGGGGAGCAGCAGGCAAGTCAGGAGAGGTCTGCTGCACCATGTGGGTCACCTCCCCGGCTGGGATCGAACTCATGCTGCAGTGGCTGTGGGTAGCTTCATCTTAACCCTTTGCGCCACCAGGGAGGCCTCTGCTTTCTTTCTATTTGCTTCCACTAGTTGGATTTTGCTAGCCCTGTGTTTTCAGCCACAATGTTTTCATCTTATTTTAGGTTCTCTTAGGAATTTTAGTTTTTACCCAGTCTTAGGGTTTGCCTTTATTGGGAATTTTTTCCTTTACCATAGTTATGTTTAATTTATCCCTGCCACCTTATTTTGTAATTTTATATGCTTTGTTTTTCTTTTTTGCACTTTAAATGTTTTTAAACATTTCTTTCATTTCATGCCCCTTTGTTCATATGGAAAATGTATTATTTTTATTCAACCAGTGGAAGCATTTAAATGAAAAATATGCATGTTTCAGCTTACCTATCAATGTTAATGGCATATCTGTGGAAACAAAAAACCTAGTACTTTTTTACTGCCACTTTCTGCAGACTCCATCCCCCAGATATATTGAAATCATCTAAACATTAATAATAGTTTACACTTTGTTCCACTTATTGATCACTGACCACTGTTCTCTCATTATCAATTCTTCCCATTTCTAAATTCTTTATTCTGATTCTTTTTTTTCAATTTTAGAGAAGTTCAGAAAGGGTATATAGGTAGTATAATTTCTGAGTGATTGCTTGTCTTAAAATGTCTTTCTTTTTCTCTGAAATAGAAAAAGTAGTTTCTGTTGATCCTTTTTTAAAATAAGTAACTGGTATTTTGTTTTTATGAATTATTGACATTTTGCCAGGATGAGTCTGGTTGTGGCTACTGTGTGTGTGTGGGTGTGCACGTACAAGTCTGAGAAAGTGAAAGCTGTATATGTAAATATGTAATTTTTTCTGCTACTTCGTGGCTTTTCTCTGGTGGACATTCTCATGTCTCTTGAAATTTTCTTTAATTTTTTATCTTGTATTTTAGCTTCTTTTTCAATTTGGGTATTTCTCTCTGACTATAGCTCCCAAATGTAATATGGTTTTAAACTTTATTCCTCTTCTAAAATACCTAGAGATACTACATGTTTGCTATTAGATAGAGATTCTCAGTAACGGTGAAATTTAATGAGAGGGAAACACACACCTAATGAGTAGTGTTCTTCCTCTGCTTAACTCTTCTTTGTTGGGAGTAATATTTCACCTCTGTGTATTGAACTCATCAAAATCATTTCCTTTGTTAGAATCTTTGAGTACTTATCAGGCTTCAAGAGATTATTCTAACCCCTCTTTGGAAAGTTGTGTGATAGAAAATTGTATTAATTACAGTGAGGCGGAACACATGGCATTATATCTTGTTTCTTTCTAGAGGGAAGGGAGAAAAAGCAAAAACTTCTTACATATTACAGTGTCTGTTAGATTTCCTCCTTCTAAAACCTTATCATTTCTAGTCTAGTTTGTAGTCTAGTTTCATTTTCTCATCCCCTCTTTCTTTTATAACACTTTCATTTTTTTATTTTCTCTTAAGGAGAACTTCTTACGCCTGAAATTTTACAAAATATTCATTAATTAGATTTATTGCAGAACGCAGTCTGCTAGTTACTATCTTCATTTGGGTGTTTTATTTGGCAATTGCATTTCTTCATATTGCTCCTTTTTTTATGACAGCTTGTTCTTATTTTATCAATGTGACAATCTCTTGAATCTCATTGATCTTTTCCTGTTTTCCCTTGTTTCTGGCAATAGTTCTTGTCTCCCAGGATTGGTCCTCTCCTTTTGAATTGTTAACTATATTTATATCCCAGATTGTCCTTGTATTTGTTTATATGTTTGAAGGGATGGTTGTATTTGTTTCGTAGCTGAGATGGATTGATGCAGAAATTGTGTAGGCCCCTATACAGTTTTTGTTTCAGAACAGCCTCCCAAAACCCAAAAGAACAGTAGCCTCGAGCCTACTGGAGGAATAGCTCCACCAAGTCAACCTAGTGTAACTGCCAGCACAGTGCCCCACCCCCCACCCCCTTTGTTTTGTGGGCTTCCACAGAGTCAGGCCCTCTACAGTCTCTAGTGACACCATCAGAGACTCAAGTCTTTCAGATTTGGCCCCTGCTTCTACCTCCACCTTTTAGCCAGGGACCTTCTATGAGGCTGCTGTAGGGGAATGAGGGGGGAGGACTGGGAGTTGAAAGGAGGAAAATTGTGTTGTGATCCACTCTCTCTACCTGCATTGCTCCTGGTGAAGTCTTCCAACGTACCGAGGCCTTTTTTTGTTATCTGGGAGTATATTTAGCCAAACTGGGCCTTTATCTTTGTCTTACCTGAAATGCCCTTTCTCTATCCCCATTTTCATCTGTGGAAATTCCACATATCATTTCCTTACCAGGTTGATGCCACTTTACCCAGAAACTCTCAGATTCCCTCTACCATATGTAATCATCCTTTTATCACATGTTCTGCTTATAGTCTAGTTCTTTATATACTTGTCATCCCCTTCCCTTTTGCATTGTGATGTTGGGAACCATGTCTTGCTCACCTTTATGTAGAGAAGTATTAAAATGAAGGTAGAGAGGGCCTCCCTGGTGGCAACACGGGGTTAACACGCAACCTAGGAAGCTATCCGCAGTCATTGCAGCACGAATTCCATCTCCTGCCAGGGAGCTGACCCACATGGCACAGCAGACCTTTCCTGACTGGCCACAGCTCCCTTCAGCAGTGTATTTCAGTCAATCTGCCGGTTCTGTTCCCCACTCTGTCTTGGTGAATCCTCTCACCCTTCTCCCACCCCCGCACTTCTGGCCTGTACCCCAGTTCTTGTATGCATAAATAAATAAATCTTTTTTTAAAAAAATGAAGGTAGAGAAAGCCAGGTTTGAATCTCTATTCAGTGTTCACTTGCCAGATCATCTTGGGACAAGTAAGTTACTTAACCTTTCTGAAGGAATTTTTTCCTTAGGAAGAAGGTCATAACAATAGTACCTACTTCAGCACACTGTTTTGAAGATAAAATGAGATAAGATAGTACAGTGAACAATGAAACAAATCTTAATTTGTTTTCTGTACTCAGTATAGCACCTATCCCATGTAACACCTTATCCACACAGGCCTTAAGTTAATGGTGACTGAGTGAATGCATTTGCAACGTGTTTTGCACAAAACTGACTTTTGCACTGAGTCAGTGGCAGAGCCCAGGAAAAAGAATCCAGGATTCCTGAGTATCCCACACATGTTCCCAGCTGGCGAATGCTGATGAAGTAGGGCTTCAAAAGCCTTTCCATAAGTCTGAGAATGGAGGAGAGTTGTTTGTCTGCTTTTGTTTATTTAGTAAATTGTAACCCTTCTATGAAAGAGACTTCTCTTTGATTGGTCAGATTTTTAAATATCAGTTGCTTTCTTGTCTGGGTTAAATGCTTATGAAGAAATAGCCACAGAAGTCCTCCCTGGTGGCACAGGGGTTAGTCTCAGCGCCATCAAGCTATCACCAGCCACTGCAGCAAGAGTTCGATCCCCAGCCAGGGAGCTAACCCACATAGCACAGCAAACCTCTCCTGTCTTGCCCACTGTGCCTCTCAGCAGTGTATTACAGTAAATCCTCCTGTTCTGCTCCGTACTCTGTCTTGGTGAATCCTCTTACCTCCCATATCTCTGGCCTACACTGCAGTTCTTGTATGCATAAATAAATAAAAATAAATCTTAAAAAAAGAAAAAGAAATAGCCACTGATGGAAGTCAATAGAGAGGCAAATAGTGTTATAGTGGAAAGATTTGATGCCAAGTAGAGTGTTTTTTTTTTTAAGATTTATTTGTTTATGCATATGAGACCTGGGGTACAGGCCAGAGGTGTGGAGGGGAGAGGATCTACCAGTGACAGAGTGGGGAACAGAACAGGCAGACTGACTGAAATACAGTGCTGAGGGGAGCAGTGGGCGAGACAGGAGAGGTCTGCTGCGCCATGTGGGTAGGTCCCTGGCAGGTCAGGGATCGAACTCATGCTGCAGAGGCTGTGGCTGGCTTCACAGTGCTGTGCTTAACCCCTTTTGCCACCAGGGAGGCCCCCCAACTAGAGTTTTAGATGCTTATGATCATTAACTTCTCAGACAGACTGCTCGTCTCTGGTATTTTAGAGGTGGGATCTCTATCAGATTCCTGTCTAATAAGGAAGGAAAATTCTCTTCCTCTATTGTAGCTTGACTAAGCTGAGGAATGTGATTGTATCTTTTTAGTGAAGGGATACTTTTGTAATTGCTTCCCTTATTATTAAACCTGCACAGGAATGGGGAGAAGGTAAACACCCATGAAATAAATATGCCTTCTAGGAAATTCTCCTCTTTTGCAATTTTCTCTAGGCCTGCACTATCCAAAATCTTGGAAACTTGCTGGATATGATGTATCAGGAACCAACAAGATGGTCCTACACATTCCAGACATTTTCTTTTATGAGCCGCCTGAAAGTACAGTTGGAGTCCCTCCCTGAGAAACTCGTACAGACCAACAAGCAGGTACAGATCTTTGAGAGGTCTGTGTACAGTGACAGGTAAGACCTGGGACCCTTAAGCCCTGTGCTCAGGGCTGCATGTTTTCTCTTCCAGCTCAAACCCTGCATTACCCTGGATGTTGAGAATTGTACTTTGGAAAACTGTGCCGATGCACTACACAGATTTGTTCAGACTTACATTTCCATGACAAAGTTTTTCATAAACTGTGTTTTCCATAAACTGAATGCATTTAATTTATCACATTGCCATTGATTATGTTCCCTTATTCTTTTCTGTCGGAGAGGCAAGCTGGAAGCTACCTTGTACAACCATCACGTGCTAAAAGGCAAGGAACAGATATTTAAGTAACAGTGTATGTTCTAGGAAACCAAATGAATCAGTGGTTGGTTATTACCTTGAAGTGGTTGGTTATCACCTTGAAGAAAACTAATGAAATTAAAAGTTGTGGTCCAAAAATGACACAGGAGATATAGTCATCCTTTTCTCTTGTTCAAGAAAGGATTTCTAAGTTGAAATAGCACATCTATGAAATTGGCATCTGTTTCAGATTTGCTCCTTTTGGCCCCTTGTTATATGACAGGACTTAGTGCTGGCCAGTCTTTGATGGACATCCACTGCCTGTGTCAGGCTAGGGGAGGGGCATCATCCCAGCCACATGTGGGTATGGGATGTAAAATCACTTTTAATGAAGTCTAGCTGCTAGCTTGGGAAGTCAGCCCATCTGTTCTAGAAGAACTAGTTCATCCAGGCCCCAGAATTCCTGGCTCTGCCACAAGACCAGGCTGTGGCTTGTGTTTAAGCTGTTTAGAGATGAAGTGAAGGTACCTTGATCTGCTCAGGATTTTATTACTGAAAGCTATGAATGGCCTGTGTTACTCTAAAATTGTGCTTTAGAGCACAATGATCTGTCTTAAGCCCCTTTGCATTATCAAAGTGGAAGATGCTACATTTTCATTGTCTGTTCTGTTCACTTCTGAAGACACTAAATTGGCACTAATTCCAAATTAGACAAATTGTTCTACTTTTTGGTATGCCCGTAAAGCCTCCTGGAGGGGAGGAAAAAAAGAGTATGCTTGTAAATGTTGTGTTTTTGGTTTGTTGTTTTTTTTTTTTTTGACCTCTAAAAATCACGCAAGATGGTAAAACAACCCCTACAGCCACACATTCCTTCTCAATGTACCCAAAGAGAGAGCCTACTCTGTCAAAGCTAAATATTTGAATTACAAATGGTGGGGTTGTAGATTTTGGTACTTTTTCAACTGTTGGATATATTACTACCTATTTTCCTCTCCCTTTCCTAAGCTATGCCTCTTGGATTAGGAAGATGGATTCCATATAACCACCTGGGTTGCTTGCAAACAGATTCTCCATGAATCTTTTGATTTCCAGCTCTTTAGTGAGGTAGGCATGTGAGAGATGCCCCCAGAAAGAAGTATCCAAAAAAAGAAAGAGAAATTGTTTAGAAGCTACAAGATCTTAACAAAGGAATAGATGTGGATTGATTGAATTGTCTTCTTCAGAGGGTTCATTTTTGAGACAGAAAGGATAACTAATTACACATTCTAATCCTGATGGTAATTTAGACCCTTCCATTCTTTTAAAAAATTTATTCATTTATTCGTTTACTCAGCACAAATTATTGAATGTCACCCATGTTCAGGCACCAGGTTAGGTGCAGCATTGCAGCGGTGAGCAAAATGGGCTCAGTCCCTACTAGCAGAGCAGCCTTCCACTAACAGGACACTCATATGTGCTGCAAAGGACCAACATGGGTTGATTGAGAGACTTGCTGAAAGGGAAGAAGGAATCTGAATCTTTTTTGTTTGAGTTAAAAGCATGTGGTCTTAGAGCAGGGACTCTGGTGCCTGGGTCTTTATGCTGATGTGTTTCTCAGCCCCTGCACTGGAATTGCAGTCGTTCCTTCCCCTGGCACTCAGCACCACTCCCTCTGCTGCCCATCACCAGCAGCTTTGGAGAAGAAAAGCAGCATTCATCCTCCAGAAAGGCAAGGTCCCCTTTCCTAGGGTTTATTAATAGATTCTTAATTTCTCTTCATAAGATTTTTTTTTTAATTTTTTAAAAATTTTATTTATACAAGAACTGGGGTACAGACCAGAGGCACAGGAGGGTGAGAGAATTCACCAGAGACAGAACAGGGAGCAGAACAGGCAGATGGACTGAAAGCACTTCTGAAGGGAGCAGCGGGTGAACAAGGAGAGGTCTGCTGCACCATGTGGGAATCTCCCTGGCCGGCTGGGAATTGAACCCATGCTGCAGAGGCTGTGGACAGCTTCACAGTGCTGTGCCTAACCCACTGTGCCACCGGGGAGGCTCTCTCTTTATAAATCTTAATTCTAATTTACCTGTGAAGAAACTGAAAACATTGTTCAGAAATTGAATTACTAAAGTCACCTCTTTATTGCCTTTAGCTGGACTATGGCAAGACTGTTCCAGACTGGGAGACTTTACTTCTGAAATTCTCAAATTAATTTCTTCATAGCCTATCAAAGGTGTCATTATAATAGCAACTAATATGTTTTGAATTCTATGTGCCAGTCACATTTCTGAACACCTGTGAGTATTATATGTAATCCTCGCTACCCTGTGAGTTAGGTTGTATTGTTATCTCTTTATACAGAGGAAAAAACAGGCTGAGAAACAGCCAGTGATTTTCGGAGCGTTGGTCAGATGCAGGAATACAACTCTGAAACCTCTTCTCTTTGTTGCAACTTTTTTTTTTAAAGATTTATTTATTTATGCATGCAAGAGCTAGGGTGCAAGCCAGAGATGCGGGGAGGTGAGAGGATTCACCAGAGGCAGAGCAGGGAACAGAACAGGCAGACTGACTGAAATATACTGCTGAGGGGAGCAGCGGCCGAGACAGGAGAGGTCTGCTGCGCCATGTAGGTTGCTCCCTGGCCTACTGGGGATCGAACTCGTGCTGCCATGCTGCTGAGGCTGCCGAGGCTGCGGATTACTTCATAGTGAAGGTGCTTTAACCCCTTGTGCCACCAGGGAGGCCCATCTTTGTTGCAACTTTTGCAGCCTTGTGGTATATGCTTCCCTGAGTCCCTTATACATGGATTCCAAGTTTTATTTCCCAGTTGCTGAGCATTGCCTTAGAAACTGGAGTTCATTGTTTGGAATGTAAATTGTATCAAGATGCCTGAGGTTTGAAAGCAGAATTGACCCTTCTGAAGCAATGGTTTCTAGTTATCTCTACTATCCTGTTTACCAAGCTGTGCCTTTTGATGTGGAAGTAAGCAAGGGGCAAAACTAGTTTGATTTTTGGATTTAGCTTTCTTGTACCTGGATTTGAACAGACATGGAACAAGTTGGTTATTGATTTTCTTCTTTTCTCCCTTTCTCACCTTTCATTCCATTTCTCATTCTCCTTTCCCCATCCCACTTCTATTCCCAACCAGGTATATCTTTGCAAAGAATCTTTTTGAAAATGGTTCCCTCAGTGACATCGAATGGCATATCTATCAGGACTGGCATTCCTTTCTCCTCCAGGAGTTTGCCACCCGGCTCAGATTACATGGCTTAATCTACCTTCAGGCTACTCCTCAGGTAAGGCAGAACCTAAAACCCTGGACAGAAGGGCCATAGGAAACTTTTCCCAGCCCCTGATCTTCTGGTTGAAAAAATTAATTAGTGGGTGTCATCCAGAGTACAGAGAACCCTAGGTAAGCACCCTCTAGTTCTAGCATTGAGCATCCATGATCTCTCTGCAGCTGAGGATTAAAGCGATTGGCTGCATTGAAAGGATCCCTGTTGATGTAGCAACAACATAGAGCAAACTGGGAATTACTTTTGTCACCCAGGGTAACTCTTATCAGGTGGGCCCTCTTATCAGGTAATCATAGTCAGTTGCTTCAGCTTTTCCTTCCCTCTAACTGGGTTGTCAGAATCAGTCTTAATGGTTTCCTGCATAGGATGTGGGGTAGAAGAGAAGGAAGTTTTCTCACCTCATCCTGATACTGCCCTAATTTATAGCCCTCTTTGAACCATGAGGAGGCCCCTGGTTAGGCAGGAGGGACTATGGTAGCTGTATTGCATGACTTGACTCAGCCTAGCCACAATAAGGTGACGACTTGGCAGGAGCACTGAAGTCTTCACAGACCATGGGTCAGTGGCCTTGGCTGCTGCTGATTGGCAGTCACCATGGGCAACCCCTGGAAACCTTTCCCCTAGAAATAAATAGTCTAAGGTTTAAAGGGGGTCTGTGAAATCCAGTGGATCAGACTAGATCTCTACAGGCTCTTCTGGAGTAGGTTACCTAGTCAAGGCAGGTCAAGATGGCTTTTGGGAGATGTATTTCTCTTAGTTTTTGAGACATAAATGTAATGTTTAGTCAAATGCTGAATATACCATTTAGGAGGAAAAGCTCCCCTCAGACTAGAGGCCATGGTTTTTAGAGACAGGGCTGAGCCTGTAGACAGAAGAAAACCTGAGATCAGATTGAGCAGGGTCAGAAAATGACCGTGTACAAGAGCCCTGTCATGCATACTCCAGAAGACTGGAAAGAAGGGCTTCACCCCAGGGAGGCAGCAGCCATGAAAAAGGCCCTAGAATTGATGGGGACCACATTTGGGGTGGAAGGGGTCTCTATTTCAGGAGTTTCTGGATGTTGTGTGGTAGAAGCGAAATCTTAAGAGGAAATAAAGAGATTCCACAGAAATAAATAGTCTAAGGTTTACTATTTAGGTTTTAGACTATTAAATAATCTAAGGTTTAAAGTGAAACTGAATTAGAGATTCATTTAAGCTGAGTAAATTTTCTGTGAAAAGAACCAAGCTGAAATTATTGATAGAGACATTAATCACAAGGTGACCAACTGGGTCACATTTATATTATTTCTTTCAGGAGTCTTCTTTGCCTGAGAATAGGAGTAGAAGAGGCAAATTATGAAGGCGACTGTACTTTAGGGTGAGGATAGAGTCAGTGGCTAGGGGAAAGGATACTTTTGCCAAAGAGGAAAGCTAGAAGTAGCTGAGGGTAGGGTCCAGGTAGGGAGGGAAGTCCTGGCCCCAGGGAGAGGTCGTGGCTTGAGCCAAGGACCAGTGAGGGTGCTGTGAACTTGTATGAGTGAAGATTATGGTTGAAATTTGAAGAGGTGACAGATTTCCTGTAGGGGTCATGGGATAACTGAAAGAAACAGTAGGTTGGGAAGCTGAGCATCAGAATTGAGAGAGCTGCCCTAACCTTTTCTAAGAGAAGTAGAACTTTAGTGTAACAGCTCAGCACCATGAAGAAAGTGTTAGCTTGAGGAAGTGGCTGTACTCATTCTTGGGTCAAACAGGGTACTGGGCTAGCTGCAGAGGCTTGTTTCTGGGACCTGGGCACTGAGACCCAGTAGGGAAGGCAGAAGTCTTCCTCCCTTCTGAGCACTCTGAATGATTTTGTGAAAAGGGACAATGATGAAAACGATGGGGGTGGTGATCATGATGATGAATTGTAGCTCAGTCATCTTTTGAGAGGGTTTAGTTGAGATTATTTCAACTGAGATAGAATGAAGAGAGTTGAAGGATTATTGTATCTTAGTAGTAGAAAAAAATAGCTTTCTTATTTTGAGATTGAATGGGGTTTTGATGCTATTTTGATGGCATTGGGGTCAGGGGCCCAGGAATGCTCATATCTTTTCCCCAACCTCATCCCCTTCTGTGAGAATTGGAGGCAGCAACATCCAAGAGAAAAACAAGTGAAACAGGGCCTCCGGGTGGCGCAGGCAGTTGAACGCAGCACTGTGAAGCTGTCTGCAGCCTCTGCAGTGCCGGTTTGATCCCGGCCGGCCGGGGAGATACCCACATGGCGCAGCAGACCTCTCATGTCTTACCCGCTGCTCCCCTCAGCAGTGTATTTCAGTCAGTCTGCCTGTTCTGTTCCCTGCTCTATCTCTGGTGAATCCTCTCACCCTCCCGCACATCTGGCCTGTACCCCAGCTCTTGTATAAATAAATAAATATTTAAAAAAAAAAAAAGAGGGCCTCCCCGGTGGCGCAGTGGTAGAGCGCTGGGTTGCGAAGCTACCCGCGGCCTCTGCGGCTCCGGTTCTATCCCCGGCTGCTCCCCGGCCACTGGAGGAGGGTCCCACATGGCGCGCAGACCTATCCTGCCGCCCGCTGCTCCCCTCAGCAGTGTACTTCGGTCCTTCTGCCTGCTCTGCTCCCCGCTCTGACTCTGGTGAATTCTCTCACCCTCCCGCGCTTCTGACTGTACCCAGTGCATGTATAAACAAACACACAAACAAATAAATAAATAAATGAATAAAATACATGCCTCTTTAAGAAATAAATAAAGAAAAGACAAAAAAGAAGAAAAAGAAAAACAAGTGAAACATCTGTTTAAAAGCTGTTCAGGGGCCCCCCTGGTGGTGCAGGAGGTTGAGCACCACACTGTGAAGCTGTCCGCAGCCTCTGCAGCGCGGGTTCGATCCCGGCCAGCAGGCGAGAATCCCACATGGCCAGCAGACCTCTCCTGTCTCGCCCACTGCTCCCATCAGCAGTGTATTTCGTCAGTCTGCCTGTTCTGTTCCTGGCTCTGATTCTGGTGAATCCTCTCACCCTCCTGCGCATCTGGCCTGTACCCTGGTTCTTGTATAAAAGTAAATAAATCTTAAAAAAAATTTAAAAAATAAAAAAAAGCTGTGCAGGTGCCCAGTGCTCCCATGCAAAGTCCTTGAAATACTGAGTGTGGAGCTTGTGAGATGGACCTATGTAGGGGCTTTTGCTCCTTTCTGCCTATTCTACCCTAAATTCTGAAGCACAGTAGGCAAGTCAATAATTAAAAAGAAAATCAGAAGAGAAATGATGGCCTCATCTCCCCAGGTGCATGGAGTCAGGAAAATAGAGTGCAGTGTGCCTCAAAAAGGTCAAGAAAGACCTGCTGGGGACTGCTTGCAGCCTGGAGATGGTTTGCAGGAAATACTGGGAACAAGTGGCACTAGGAAAGCACAGACTACTAAGGACAGATCCCTGAGCAGTCAGAGTTCAGTCATTGCCTCTTGACTCTGGGAAGTCTAAGCAGCAGCTTATCCTGGGGAGGTAGGGCAAGGGGGCAGATGGGAAGGAGGGTCCCCCTGCTGTTTGCAACTACACTCTCTTTCCTGTTCACATTCAGGTATCTCCTTCCTGCGGGATATTTTAATAAAGAATTTATTTATTGTTACCACATGAGTAAAATAAGAACTATGGCCAATGTTTGACAGACTAAGAGACAGACTAGATTTCTGAGGGGAAAAGTTTGTTCTGTAAAGCAAATGAATAGTAAAAAGGGAGAGTTTAGCATCAGTGTTTGCCTGCAAGCAATAAATGAATAATACCTTTTATAAAAACAATTATTCTGTCCTTATATATAATTGAAAACAAAAAGCCACATTTTTTTAAATGTGCATTTTTCATTAATTCCAATAGTTTTTTTAATTTCAATAGTAAAGAGTTAAATTAGGTAGTTTTGCTGTGCTTAGAAATCCTGAAGCTGCCTTGATGGTAGGAATGTAAATAAGTTAACCTCTGGGGAGGCAGTCCAGCAGAATATACTAGCAAGTGCTTTGACCTGTTAACTGTGCTCCTTGGAATTTGCTCCATCAGTACTCAATGTGTTCCATGGCCAGAATGGCTCATGTGCAAGGTGGTGTTGAGCATATTACTGAAAACAACAAACCCAAGTAGCCATCAGTAGAGACCAGAACAAAAAAGAAAAAAAAAAAAGAGGCAAGAATGAAAATAGAAATGGAAAAGATTGGGTCTCCCTGGTGGTGCAAGGGGTTAAAGCACCGCACTATGAAGCAATCCACAGCCACGGCAGCATGAGTTCGATCCCCGGCCAGCCAGGTAACAACCCACATGGCGAGACAGACCTCTCCTGTCTTGGCCACTGCTCCCCTCAGCAGTGTATTTCAGTCCATCTGCCTGTTCTCTTCCCACTCTGTCTTGGTGAATCCTCTCACCCCCCGCATCTCTGGCCTGCACCCCAAGTCTTGTATGCATAAATAAATCTTAAAAAAAAAATAAAATATATAAAAAGAGTAGAGCTTGCTTATTTCATTAAAAAAAAAAATGGAGGGGGCCTCCTCGGTGGCGCAGCGGTTGAGCGCTGGCTTGTGAAGCTGCCTGCAGCCTCTGCAGCGCCAGTTCGATCCCCGGCTGTTCCCCGGCCACCGGAGGAGGGTCCCACATGGCACACAGACCTCTCCTGCCTCCCACTGCTCCCCTCAGCAGTGAACTGCGGTCCTTCTGCCTGCTCTGCTCCCGGCTCTGGCTCTGGTGAATTCTCTCACTCTCCCACGCTTCTGACTGTACCCACTGCTTGTATAAATAAATAAACAAGCAAACAAACAAACAAAGAGTTCTCCTTTAAAAAAAATAATAATGCTGCAATAAACATAATGCATTTCTCTCGATCTCTCTCTTAAAAAAAAAAAGAAATGGAAAAGATTGAAGTGTGACAACAAGATAAATGGAAATAGAGATGAGGTTAAAAATTAAATAAATTCATGCCACAAATATTTGTTGATCCCCTACCCTGTGCTCAGCCTGTACAAAATCAACTCTGACCTGCCCCTTGGAACTCCCGTAAGGACTGGGCCCTGGGACTGCCCTCTGTCCAAGGCAGCTAAAATGCCTCTGTTGCTCTAGAGCCCAACAGAACACCAGGCTCTTAAAGTTTGGTTCGGCAACCTGGAGCCAGAGGTTAAAGGGGAGCTCTTGCCACTGCTACTAACTTCTCTTTGTCTGCCAGAGTCCACATTGCTACCTCCCTCACCTGAGGTGTTGTACTTAAGATTCAGACTCTCATGGTTGAGCACTTAATTTGCTATTTTGCAGATTTTATTTATTATCTAAGTAAATTATAAAATCCTGAGAATGAAGACTTAATCTAAGTTTGGGACACTTAATAATTGAGTGGGGAAAGGGAGCGACAAGAATAGATAAGTACTTGAAGTATTAACCTTTTGGATCTTACTCTTAATCAATTTGAATAGTTGAACATAAGACTGTCAGTGAAATTTGCTTATGTAATTTTGTTTCCCTAGAAGAAAGGATGTGAAGGAAAAGCAAATGTCATGTCTTTGTGAAGATTGCATACTACTTTTGGGAATAAAGTTTACATCTGGGAATAAAGTTTTTTAAGTGTTTGAAAGAGGGAAATCCTAAATAATGGGTTAATCCATTTGTTCTTCCCAGGACAGATGACACTGAATAACAAAATGTTTGCCAGACAAAAGCAGGCAATTAAGACAGAAAAAACATCTGAAGCAAAAGTTTTGCAATGTGAAAGAGCTTTTCTTGCCCACAGGAAGGCAAATCTGGCTGAAGCAGTGTGCCCAGGAAGTTGATAGTAGAGACACAGGAGTGTGATCAGACTCCGAAGAGCCTGTGTGATGGGTACAGGAGTGAAATTCTCTGAGCCAGTGTGCCCCAAACTTTTCTATTAGTTGACAGCAGAATAAAATGATGCACACTCAGGAAAGGGTAAGAGAGCAGAGGAAAGGTAGTCTCAAGCCTCATTTTTAAAAATTTGTTTTACCTATGCAGATTTTGCATTCTACTCCAGAGTGAGTGTTTGATAAGGTATTAAAGAGCTGCTTCAAGCTACTTATCATTTTGTAAATGTAATGCCTTTCATACTTCCTTGTACCTGAGGATTATGACTGCCGGCAGTATGGAGCCTGTGAGGTATTTCAGTGAAGAGAGTTGTGCCCTAATACTGCCGTGCTGTGGAAGGGCGGACCAAGGGGAGTGAACTGGAAGGAGAGAACACTTTTGCTAGGAACTTGACAAGCCTTACCTCAGAGACTCTTGTAGGGGTGAATGGAGGATGAGGAAATGGAAGCCCATAAAGAATGTACCATTAGTACATGGTAAGGACAGAAATTAATCCAGGATGTTCTTACCATAAGGCCCGAGCTCTTGCCACTTTACCATCTCCAGGAAGCAGAGAGCAGGAAAGTGCTTGTCATGGTCCAGTGAGGTGATAAGGACCTGACTAGGGAAGAGGTGAGAGAGTGGCCAGGAAAGAACCAACTGGAGAAAGATGAAAGAGAATTCAGTGACTTCCTGTATGTGGTTGGGAGGAGGGGAAAAAAGGGAAATTTCATGTTCCCAGGATGGGTAATGTTTCCATTAACCTGACTGAACAAGAAAACAAGCAGCAGAAATAAAGTTGTGGCTTCTAGCACCTGGGATAGACACCATAAGCGGGTCTTAGAGGCTAAAACAGCAGTATAACAGTTTAGTGAATATAACAAGTGTGTTCATCAGCCTGGGGGTTGTCTTTTAGGTTTGTTTGAAGAGACTGTGCCAGAGGGCCAGACAAGAGGAGAAAGGAATAGAGCTGGCCTATCTGGAACAGATTCATGGTCAACACGAAGCCTGGCTTGTTCACAAGACTACCAAGTAAGTAGAGAAGAGAGAGGACAGAGACTTGCCTCCCTCATTCAACTGTTAAAGCATAAAGGGACATACCCTTCCATAAGAAGGTTCCGAATGTTTTGGAAATGCTTGGAAATGTCAAGCATCATCCAACTCAGAAATTTAATATTGGATATAATCTGTATATTCCAAAAGGCTTTTGTTTACATTCTATTTCTCCATCTTTTTGTTGTTGTTGTTCTCTAGATTGAACATTATGATTGTTGATGTTGTTGGGGGGGGGGGTGGATGTCCTGAGAAAACTCCACAAATAGGTTTTATGGACCCCACCCCCACCCCAAACCAAAGAGATCCAAGACACCAAGGACTACAAATCCCATAATGTCATCACCACCAAAGGGAGGATTGCTGGGAACTGCGGGTGGAGTTAAGCAGCCAGGCTTGGTATATAACCAGACATGTGGTTCTTGGGGGCCCTTGATTTTTCAGTGGCTTACAGCATGCTGTTGGGGTTCCAGATCAGCAGAATTGGTTGGATGCTTTCACCAATTTCTCTCTTTCTCCCTGGGTTATTCATTTCTTCATTTCCGCTTTTTGTAAATAAACCCTTTATTACCCTTTTTGTGTGTACCTGTGGTTGAGTCTCATTATAAGTCCCTTTTAAGCGCGTGGGTGAGGACCCACAGTCAGGCAACCCATTTCACATTGGGGCTGCCCTGTAACAATGGTGATATAGTTAACTGTCAGGGTGACGGGCTGAAAGTTTTTAGAAACAATGTCCGTTTTACTATATGCTTTTCCTCCCCCAGGGTTGGTTTGCTGTCGCCTTAAAGTGTTTGGGGCTCAGACCTTCATTATCAGCCCCAAGACTAAAAAGAAATTTCAACCTTCTTTTTACTGGCAAACTTTCTTGAATTATCTTTTTCTTTAGCTGCTGGTTTACATGCAGTTTCATTGAGACTCCTGCCTTTAGTCCTGGCCTCTGAATAATAATAATTATTATTGTATTAATTATTTTGAACATATGAAACCTGGCTTGCTTTTTTTCTGTTTTCTGTCCTCTGAATATTCATGCTTCTTACAGGCTACACTTTGAGACTCTGCTGAACATTCCAGTGCTGGTGTTGGATGTCAATGATGATTTTTCTGAAGAAGGAACCAAACAGGAAGAACTCCTGGAAAAGGTGGGGAAGACCTTAACTTTTGCTTTCTAGTGATTGTACTTTTATCTTTGCTTCAAACCTCAGTATAATGGTTCTTATGCTTGTGCTTCAATTTGCGTTTCACACTCCAAAGCCTATGGGATCTTGTATAAGTTACAAATAAAATCCCTGTTCTCTAAATTATTTTAGACTAATAATTATTAAATAATGAACTTGTAGTGTGTGATTCCCAACTAATTTCCCCCTCTAAGTTATTCTAGAACTAGGGAAATGCAACTTCTGGATTCTGATCCAACCTCTGCCACTTGATGTATGACCCTGGGACATCACATTTCCTCTCTGTGCCTATGTTCCCTTCCTCACAAAAACCTCATGGGCTTGGCCTTGTGGATGGGCTAGTAGATAGTCTGCTGAAAATATAAAATTTAACTTCTGGTTTTTCTCTTCCCCTCAGGTAAACACCTTTGTAAAGAACCTGTAATCATGTTCTGGAATGTTCTGTTTGTCTCTCTGACTTTCTGAAGCTAGAAATATATTGAGTGGATCATGTTTCCATCCCTATTCCCATTCCCTTTTACCTAACCCTGGAGTGCTCTGACACTTGGTGCATGGCTTATGTTACTAGATGTTGCTATTTTTTATATCTCAAGAACTGCTAAAATAAAGTGTATTTAAGTTTTGGGTTTTTTTTTTACTCATCCAGTTGTTCATTCGTTCAGCATGTCTCTATTGGTGTCTCTGAACTCCCATTTAAACTAGCAAATTTTGCCAGAGAAAAGCCTTAACTTTTTTTCTTGAATCTTTCACCACAAGACTTCTTTATGTGACCCCTTGTTCCTTTTGACCTGCCAAGGCAGGAATTGCTCCCAGCACCATCACTCAAGCCCTGCCATGGGCAGAGGAGAAGTAAAGTATCTCAGGTGGACATTAAAGGGTGAGCTTCCAGAGCCAGAAAATGAAGACCAAACTCCAGAAAGCTCCTTAATATCTTCCCATCCAGCACTCTTGGTATGAGGGCTGGTGGGGGGAAATTTAGATCTTTGTCCTAGAGCTGAAAAGCCTGAACAAATGGAAGGAGAGAGAACATATCAGGAATCCAAAAGTTCAGCACCTGATGATTAGGGTTTGGTCATCGCTGCACTCTGACCTGTTCTGAACACCAAGTGAGCTCCATGTGACCTTCATGGAGCCAGTCTGTCTCTGCTCAAAAGAAAGAAAATAGTTTTATGTGTTGCATTTTTAAGTTTTAAGGACAGTGTACAGTCATGCTGTATAACATCATTTCGGTTCCTACTGCCCAGTGACATCACAGAGCACACTGCCAGAGTGCTGCAGGAGTAGTAAGTCATGGATGACCCAGCTCCCCTTTCAGGATGCCCTCAGAACTGTTAAATCAGGGATACAGGGAAGCACTGTTTAGAGAATAAGACACACAATGATGATATCACTTAACAAATGCATTTCTCAGGACCTAGCTCCATCTTTAGTCATGCATGACTCTGTTATAAGTGAGAAAATATGTTATTCCTATAGATGTGCTCCATTGCTGGAAATCCACAGGTCCATGGTCCAGTGGGAGCAGGGGCCTTGCTTTCAGCCCTTGACAGTTGTGCAGGCATTCAGGAAAATGAATGGGCTCAAGACTCAGTGTCCCGGGAGACAGAGCCTGTGTTTTCCTTTATGATTGGGAAAATGAGTGTAAGATTGGTTTCTAACAAATGCATGATGTTTTGAAATAAAACAGCATTTCTTTATATGACTTTTTAAAAATTTAATAGCTTTATTGAAAGGTAATCCACATGCCATACAATTCACCCATTTAAATATACAGTTCAGTGGTTTTTAAAGTGTAGTCTTAGGGTTGTGCAACCATCACCACAAACAATTCTAGAATGTCTTCATTACACCCAGGAAGAAATGTCAGACCAATTAATAGTCACTCCCCATCTCCCACCTCCGGACAACATCCACCTACCCTACCCTTTCCTAGGCAACCACCACTAGACATGAATTCATATGTGTGGAGTCACATAATATGTGGCCTTTTGTGACTAGCTTTCATTTTCAAGATTTTCAAGGGTTATCTATGTTGTAACGTCAGTACTTCCTTTTTATAGCTAAACATTTCATTTTATGAATAGAACCAACTGAAAGAATCACCTTTTTTTATTCCAACTATTGATGGACTTAAGGATTCTACTTTTTGGCTATTGTAAATAATGCTACTGTGAAAAAAATACCAGTTTTTGCGTAGATGTATTTTAATTTCTCTTGTGTACATATTGAGGTTATGAAATCACTGGGTCAATTAGTAACTCCATGTTAAACTCCTTGAGGAACTGCTAAACTTTTCTAAAGCAGTTGCACCATTTTACATTCCCTCCAGCAATATATGAGGACTCTAACTGCTCCACATCTTTGCCAGCACTTGCTCTCTGTCATTTTGATTATAGCTGTCCTAGTGTGTATGAAGCGGCATCTCTTGTGGTTTTTGATTTTCATTCCCCTGATAACTGATGATGTTGAGCATGTACTTATTGGTCATGTGCTTATTGGTCATACATAAAGAAAAAATTGGTCCATTTAAAAGTTGATTATTTGGCATTGTTGAGTTGTAAAAACACTTTATATATTCTACATGTAAGTCCTTATTAAATGCATGATTTACAAGTATTTTCTCCCATTTGGTGGGTACTTTGATAGTGTTCTTTGAAGCACAAAAGTTTTGAATTTTGTTGAAATCAAGTTTGTCACTTGTCTTTTGCTCATGTCTAAGAAATCTTTGAATAACCCAAGGTTACAAATATCTGCTCCTGGGTTTTCTTTTTAAGAGTAGTATAGTTTTAGTTCTTACATGAGGTCTGTGATCAATTTTGAGTTAGTTTTTGTGTGTGGGAGAAAGAGAAATTCAAGTTCATTCTTTTGCATGTCCGTATCCAGTTGTGTCCCAATACCATTTGTTGAAACGATTTTTCTTTTCTCCCACTGAATTGTTTGGGAACCATAATGAAAATGTGTTCTATCTTGTGTTGTTTGCCTGTTCAGGTTTAGACAGGAACAGGGATGAACATAGGACATTTGGCATGTTTTTGGAAACTCAGTGGTTCAGTTCTTTAGCTTTGATGTTTGATGTTTTGATGTTTAATTCACATTTACGTTCCCAGGAAACACTAATGTGGAAATCATCTGTAAACCAGAGTAAGAGCAGTAGGCCTCCACTCTTCATTCATTTATTCATTCATCAAAAAACATTTATGCATATCTGCCATATGCTAGGGGCCAACGAGTAACAGTGAACTCCATGGAAGGCAGACCTTGTCTTTACCTCACAGAACTTGTCATCTAGTGGAGAAGGGATAGACACTGAACAATAATTACAGTGTGGTGAGTGTTTCAGAAGTGCAGGGGTACTGTGGAGGTCTGTAACAGAAGGAGCCAGTGTAAGCTGTGACAGCCCCCTAAGAAAGTAACAACCATCCTGAATGAATGGGGTAGAGGATTCAGGCAGAGGGGAACTACTGTACAGATGCATTGATGTGAAAATAGGCAGTAAACCCAGATTTTCAAAATCAGATGCAATTAGTGAAGTTATAATTTAAGAATATCCTCCTCTTCACATTCATCAGGTAAAGCATGAAAACTACAAATTCAGCAGTTCTTTCCACTTTTAAGTAGTACCTTTCAGAATGTAAATGTTATGTAGGATAGAGCTATTAACATTCTCACCTCAGTGACATAATTTGCCATTTTCCAAATTGGTAGCTGAGAATGTCTATAGAGAGAGAATAGATATTTTAATGAGGAGCAGTAGTTTGGGACCTTAAGTATCGTGGGAAGGCTAGGTCTGGGTGGAGTGCCTAGAGAGGGAAATTAGGACCATGCTGTCACCAATCTGTTCTCACTCCTGGTTTAGGCCATCCCCAGAGTCAAATAACTTAACACATAAAAATAGCTTCATTTCTTTTCAGCTCCCGATGTGGTAAAACTTGCTGTTCTGGAACCAGAACATTACCTTGATGGGGTTATAACATGTGGATTCAGGTTGTGAAAGTTCTCAAACTCTGAGGCTTTTAGCATGAAGAGAAAAGGTGATGTTTCAGGTGAAAGAGGCTGTTAAATGCAAATGCTAGAACAGGGAAAATGAAGCAAGGAAATAACATGCACTTTAAAATAGAAAGACTGTTCAACCTTCTTCAACTCTCACTTTAAAGAGTAGGCAGCTTAGATCTCTGGACCACTTTCTCCTTTTCGAACTTTTGTTTGGTGTCCTCTGGCTCTCTCCCTGCTTGGACTCTGACTTTCTGTCTCCTCCAATGACACATCTTTTCCTTCTCTCCCCTGAAGTGCTTGGTGTACCCAAGGCCCTCTGTGGCTCATCTGTCTTCATTCACTTCTCTGGTTGATCTTGTATTGGTTGTCTATTGCTCTCATACCAAATTACCTCAGTAGTTTAAGGCAACACAAATTTGTTATCTTCCTGCTCAGAACTTAACATGGGTCCTCTAACATTGAGTTAACTACTAACAGAGCTGCATTTCTCTCTGGAGGTTCTAGAAGATAATCCCTTTACTTATTTTTTCTGTCTTCTGGAAGCTGCCTGTATTCCTTGGCCCACGGCCCCTTCCCCCACCTTCACAGCAGCAGCTGTGAAGTTGCATTTCTGATCTTTCTTCCATCATCACAACTCTCTGACCACAGAGAGCCAGGGAAGGTTCTCTGCTCACATTGGGTCCTCATTATGTGGTTAGCTGGGTAATCCAACATGCCCCCCGCCACCCGATGGGAAATTTTGCTATGTGTAAGGTGACATTCCCCAGGTTCTGGGGATTAGATGTGGAGGTTTTTGATGGGCTATTATTATGCCTTCCACAGATCTCAAACACTGTCATGGCTCGTAATATTATGGGGTGAGGACTTTTTAAAGATGTGGAAATGTTACAGAAAAAGGAATCATTTGCAGCAGTGAAGGGAGTAGCATAAAGGACTCTGATATCCCCTTTATCCATGTTGTGGCACAGACAGCCCAAGATCGCCAGGAAAAAATGTGCAGTTTCACAGAATCGTATGTATTAACTCATTGCAATGGAGGAGACCACACACTAGAGGAACTGTGGGATGTCTCACCTAAAGGGAGAGACTTGTAGGATTTGGAGGGAAATTAGAGTTGCGTAAAATTTCAATGAAGCAGTATTTTGGTAGGCTCAAAACAAAGCAAGACTGTATACAGGAGTCGACACCTGGTCTGAACTGCACAGTACGCCCAGGTTCATTTCCTTCATAAGTACAAAGTTAAGATAAATGTGGATCTTTTTTTGTTTGTTTGTTTTTGTGGGACCCTCACCTGCGGCTGCGGCTGCGGCCGGGGAACAAACCGGCGCTGCAGAGGCTGCGGGCAGCCTCGCAGCCCAGCGCTCAACCGCTGCGCCACCAGGGGAGGCCCTAAATGTGGATCTTAAGTTCTGAAGCTCTGAATCTGGGTGGCAAGACAAGATGGCTTCTCTGTGTCAAAGTGGCTTAGATCCTTCTGCTAAGAGAAGCAAGTTTCATTTTCATTCTAAAATTTCTAACAGCGAAGTTTCGGATGGTCTATCATAGAGAACAAGATTTCTCAGTGAGTCAGACAGCAATAATCATGCAAAGAAAGGGGTCCTTAGGACACTTAAGGTGCAGCTGCCCTTGGGAGGAATATATTGAATAGTTTCATGATAACTTTGTAGCTGACCTTCCTTCTGAATCCTGGGCAGTTTTCTTTCTTTCTTTCTTTCTTTTTTTTTTTAAGATTTATTCATTATTTATATATGCAAGAACTGGGGTACAGGCCAGAGGTGCGGGAATGAGAAGGCTCACCAGAGACAGAGTGAGGAACAGAACAGGCAGACTGACTGAAATACACTGCTGAGGGGAGCAGCGGGCGAGTCAGGAGAGGTCTGCTGTGCCATGTGGGTCAGCTCCCTGGCTGGGGATTGAACTCGTTCTGCAGAGGCAGCGGATAGCTTCATAGGTTGTGTCTTAACTCCTTGTGCCACCAGGGAGGCCCCAGTTTTCTCTTTCTTAGTCTGAGCTACCTTTTATTTTCTCATCCACTTCAGTTATCTCCTCATAATCCATCTTGTTTCACTCATAGTGTACCCATCATTGTCAGGTTATTTTTAACAAGTCCCAGACAAAAAGGTGACTTAGAAAGCTGGAGCCTTTTTCACCTCCAGATGTCCTTTCTGCTTAATGGGTACCAGATTCCTCATCCCATCCTCTCTCCTGCTCTTTCCCACCCAGACAACAAAGCCTGCTTCTCCTGCTCTGTCACCCAGTTGACCACATCGGAAGCCCTGGAGTCATCTTGGCCCCTCCAGCTCTCTTCGCACATCCATTTCTCACGAAGTTGTGCCTGCCCATCTCTGAATTCCCTCAGAGCTTCTCTGTTTCTCTAGTTGAAGTTATAGTGGATATAATGGTTGGCTCCCCAGTTTTCACTCCACCTCTTCTCTCTTAGTGGTCACATAGCTCCCTCCCTAACAATAGCTGAGAGATTTGCTGCCCCCCACCCCCCCTGCCCACCCATTACTGCTACCCAAAGCTATCTCAACTAAACCCTGCACAGGAAAAAAAGTGGTCGCTCTGCAGGAGGACAGCATTGAGTCAGGACTCCTGCCACCAGGTAGCTACTGGCAGCCCTTATATGCAGAGGTGCTAGAGCCACCCTGCTTTTTCGTCTACCTCACCACTCATGCTGTCACCTCACTGCTCCCTGCAGTTCTAGAATACATCATTTCTGCTATATGAACTGCTTCTCTTTCTCTTTCTCTCACCTCATCCTTACTTGCTGGGAGAACTACTTATTCTGCCCGTCTCACGTATGCTTACTCCCTCTGAGGCTTTTCCCTCACCTTACACAAAAGTAGCCAGTCTTTGTGCTCTATTTATTAAGCTATGTCAAATGTATCAGACCCAAATAAAAGTTATATGGAGATATCTCTCCCCTCCTAGCTTTGTCATTCTTGATACAGACTATGTCTTGGTCACTTAGTACAGTGCTGGCACTTATCTATTTATTGCTGTTTAGTGGATGCCTAATAGAGACTTGATAAATAAATGAATGATGTAACTGAAGACACGATCTGCCCATTCTGAGGTCATTGGGTTTGTGAGCTCCACATTACAATCATCAATTTATGGTGTGCCTTGTATGCTCAGCCCTAGGAAGGAGAAAATAACAGGCCCAGACCCCACCCTCAAGTTGTCAAGAGAGCTGGAGATTATTTAATGCCTACTGTGTGCCAGCTACCCTATTGAGCACTTCTAAAATGTTCATTTCTCTCAATCCTATGAAGGAAGCCGAAGACCCCAGTTTTTATCAGTGGGGAGGTGGACGTTCAGAGTTTAGTAACTTACCCAGGGATCCTCAGAGCCAGGCCTCAAACCCAGGTCCATCCTGATTCCAGAGCATGTTCTTTTCCACAACATCTGTCTTGTAACAGAGACAATATTAACCCACTCGGGTTAATCTAGCCAGGAAAACCTATGCAGTTGCTGGTGCTGCAAGGTGGAGGCCCCATCGATGCTTCCAGTGGTGCAGATTTCTTCTTTGTAG